GTTCTCAGACCCAGGGCCCAGCTACACCTTTGTCTCACCAGATATTGCTGGGGGGAAAAACTCAATTCCCAGAATGGATATAATAGGACTTAGCCACAGCTTGATGCGATGGGTCACCCATTAGCCCCAGGCGTCCAGCATCATTCCTCATGAGCCTCTTGTATTATTTGTTCTGTATTTGGCTACAATGGCTTTTGTCCTTCCCTGGCACAAGGGATTCAAAATCTAAAGCTTACCTTTAAATATTTAATTTTTTTCAAAGTGTCTGTGGTAGCTAGATTTTACATTAACTTGAATTTGTATAAGTGGAACCCAATCGGGTCATACAGCCTTTGATGCCTCGTAGTGGGGGTTGGGAGTGAGCCTCTTATAAGAAATTGGGGACCTCCGTCTCTCTGCCACTTTGCTTTCCTGCTTGCTTGGACTCTGCCTCCAGGGGTGGCCCAATGTGGGCTGTCCAACCCTGAGAGCTGTCGGCATTCTGCCATATTTCCACTGGCCTTGGATCCAACTGACCCGTACCCACCACCCTGGGATCTTCCTGCATTTCGCGTCACAGTTCTGCATCATGTTGGCAGCTATATGAGCCTGAAGAGGGCCTTGGCTTGCATTGGAGTTATGGGCTTGAGGTGGACTGGACAGGGATTTTTTAATATATATATAAAAGATTACTTGGTGATACAAAGCTTCATATATATATGAATGATAAACACATAGGTCATATATACACACACACACACACACACACACATATTCATTGGATTTCTCTAGACAACCTGGCCTAATGGCATACTCCATCTAAAAACAGCCAGAAGAGACCAGAATATTGAGTGTCTTCTGAAGAGAGTAGTACTGTGAACACACCATGATCACTTAACACAAGGTGGCCCTGCACTCAGTTGTTCTAGGTGCCATCTCCAATGTGGTCATGTGGTCTGGTCATCTAGCGCAAGACAAAGGGCTAGGCCCCTTCTAGAAGTAAACACTGCATTCAAAATCTCATGTGGTTTTGCACTATCCCATAAAGCTATTCTCTTCATTCCTGTTTTACAGATGAAGAAACTGTGGCTCAGGGACACTGCAGCCTGTTCAGTCACGGGATGCTGGGTGAAAGCCTTAGCTCAAGTGTTGTGGGCCTGTCTTGTGTGTGCATACTTCACTTCTAGCTTCCCTCAGAGACAAGAGGACCCAAGGACACCAGTGTGCAAGGAGCATGCTGCCATGTTAAGCGGGAGAAGACACAGAGGCCCTTAGAAAGGCTACCAAGGTCTTGCACTAACTGTGCCACCGTGTCCCTTTTCACCAGGAAATCCTTCAGACTGGCTGAACGTGTGTTCACAATGGGTGCAGGGTCTGCTTGAATGAAGAGATCAGGCCACTTCGTTATCCATCATTATATCAACTAATTTACTGCCAAAAAGTCAATCCAGACTCATTGCAACCCTATCTAATGAGGCTGCAAATATTTATGGGAGCCGGGGAGTTTCATCTTTCTCCTAGAGTGACTGGTAGGTTTTAACTCCCATCCTGGGGTTAAAAATGGTACTTACCCAATAGCAACAGCAGGGACTGTTAAAAACGCACTCTACCGGTGTGAGTTACATTATCTGCTGTCGAGCGAAGTTGTAGCGTTTAGCCTGTCAAGCAGGTTGCAGCTTGATGACCTCATTTGGAGGCACTGAGATAGTTCGCTGGAGGCGGGACACACACTCACTCCCTGCAAGACATTCCTTCTAACAAGACACATGGGCTGCCCTAGAGATAGGAAGTTAAAGGAACTATGTGGAGACCCCTGGCAGCGCTGATGTCTCTGTCGACACTGGATCCACAAGATTTTCCACCCACTGGCCTGTGATCTTCCTGCATTCCACATCATTGCATGTATTGTGTGAGTCTGAAGAGGAATTTGTAGATTGGTATCGGACATGGGGGCTAATATTGGACTTATGGACTTGATCTGCACTTGGCTAGGATGTTTTCTCAATATTCAATTGCTCTTGTATTAAAGCTCTTTCTTATACATGATTGTCTATGAATTTCTCTAGTTAACCCAGATTAACCCATATAAACTGTGTAAGTATAAACTGTATTTATACAATTAATTTGCTCAGAACCCCTTTCATCAGTTCAGGCCCATCTTTGTTCACATTAGAGTCTGAAAACCATGGGGTCATAGAATGACCTTTTGCAATTATACTTTCTATCAGATGTCTCAGAAAAAAAAATTCAAGGTCAACATGGAGTACTTGTCTCACTTTCATATCTTCCAGAAGTCATACTTAAAATAAGTGAGACTTGTCCTTACAGCAATTTGGAAGTTAGGGGTGACATTTCCAATAGATGAGTCAGAAAGGAGTTGGGCCAGGATGGGGCAGGGTGTTCTCCAGGTCTAGTTGGGCACCTGCAGTGGTATCAAGTGTTCCCAGTTCCTTCTGAGTGAGGCAGGTCAGAACTGAAGGTGTAGAGATTGGTCAGCCTAGAGCTGTGTCCAAGAGATTGGGGGTTGGCACAGGGCAGCTAGGAGCCCAACAGGAAAAAATCTAGTATGTGCGGGAGCTCTGAGATGGGGAAGGAGTTTGACTTCTTGATCCAACCCCTAAGGAGTCTGTGACTCCTGGGGTTTGGCAGTGCACCTTCTCTGTTCCCGTCACACCCTAAGCTTCCCATCTCCGTTGTTGAGCTGTGGAGCACCAAGAGTCCAAGACTACGAGGTATGTCCTTGTTGTTGCATTGGCTTTGCAGCTCAAGCCAGTCATGTCATCCAATAGTGTGTCTAGGTGAGCCATGGAGGGGTGGGCTCCTGGGAGGCAGAACCCGGCGGAGAGTAAGGTGGGTAGATGAATCAAATGGTCCAAAGCTCTTGGATCCCTGAAGTACAGATGAGTAGAGGTCATCGCAGACTAAGAGAAAACATTTAGCACTGCAGTGACTCCGGTGGGCAGGGCAAAGGCCTGTAGGAAGCAGATGAGTGGGGGGACTGGAGAGGAGATGGCCTCACCAAGACACAAAGAGAAGTTCTTCAGGTTTAAGGACCTTCTTAGGTATGAGGCCTTGCAGTATATTCACCCCCAACCCATGCAACACCCGGTTACCACTGTCATACGCTAGGTAGTGTTGAAAGAACAGTCACAATGCATGTCCAGAGGCATTTCTATTAGGCAGGGTCTCTTGTCCTGTCTCTGGATGGGCTTGAGTTCCAAGCACACACGCCAGTGCTTGGGAATACCATGCACTGGTACAGCCAAGTCTGACCCTTGTACAGTTGAAGACCATCTTCTACTATGGGAACAATGTGGTTTAAGTATGTTCCATAACAAAGTGGGTGAACTTAAACTTGAATATCCGAAGTCCAAGCCTCATTGCTTCCCAAACCACTTCCCTACACTTGTTTCTATTTGTCCCCATCATGCTATGCATGGTTCTGAAAAAGAGGGCAAGTTAATCAGTTCATTGGCCCCCACCCTACCCCCCCATCACTACCAGTACTGAGTGCATGTTTAGTATGTAGAATTGATGCCAAGGTCTAGTCATAAAGCTCTAATACCTTACCCACACAGTTGCAATCATTCATCCTTTAGACCCAAGGAACTTGTGGGTGGTCATATTGGCACCAGGCCCCGGTAAGAGTTCAGATAAGGAACCACCCTGATGCCTGGCCACCTTCTACCCCCAGTGCTGGCCCCATTCATGGGATTTCATTACTATATGTCCTCCTTCAGGAGCAAGCAACAATCTTCTGGCCATGAGCGCAGGCATCTCCAATGAGTGTTCACTGACAATGCATCTGGGAAATCAGAATAACACTTCACAGGCAATTTCGAGGTCTGGAGGCAACCTGAACGCAGTGGGCTCAGGAGAAGCTCTGTATCTTCGGTGCTCTGGAACAAAGGGCTACTGTTCTTGTGTGCACAGAAGCTTTTCCTTTGAATCTGACCACTGCGACGTTCCTCTGACCTGATGTTTTTAGCTTTTGTGTTAAATGCTAATTTTATTAAAACATAATTCACATAACATAAAACTAACCATGTTAAAGTGAATTCAGTAACATTTAATACATTAAGAATATTGCGCAGTCATCATCACTATCTAGTTCCAAAATACTTTCAACATCCCGAAAGGTAACCCTGTATCCAGGAAGCAGGCACTTTCCATTCCCCTCCCTACAGCCCCTGGAAACCACTGATCTGCTTCTTGTCTCTATGGATTTGCCAACTTTGGGTATTCCATATAAATGGAATCATATAGCACAAGGCCTTTCCTCCTGACTTCATTCACTTAGCATCAAAATATTGAGGTTCATACACATTGTGATCCTTTACCCACTTTTAAGTTGGGTAGTTTGTTTTTTAACTGAGTTGTAGTATTTCTTTGCATATTTTAGAAGTTAGATCCTTATCAGGATCTTTATGATATACAAATATATCCCCCCATTCTGGCAGTTGTTTTTTACTTTCTTGATTATGTTCTTTGAGGCACTTTATCCATTTTTATCTTTGCTGCTTGTCCTTTTGGTGCCCTTTCAATGCCTGGGCCCAGAATTAACTGTCCTCCCATGCAAATCTTGCTATTCACAGTGCCATTTGAGAGTAAAGCCCGTCTGTGATATGATGGAAATTAGTTTCTGTGCAGTTTTCTCATCAGTAACCCCGTATTCATAACAGCAGTTGAAGAATGATATGCAAAATGCAAAACATGTCTGCTACAATTCTTTGAAACATACAGGAATAGTGTTAGTAACATTGCTATGTCAATAAGAAAGGCTGGGGAAAATAACAACACCCAAAACAACAAAAGGGATAACATTCTATTATTTTTGAATTTTCACAGGCTTTTGAAATTCCACAGGCTTTCCAGTTAAATTTTCTACAATGAAAAATACTGCATTATGTACTGATAAATTAAAGAAGCTTAACAAATTAAGATACCCGCTGCCATTGATTCTGACACATAGTGACCTTATACAGTGCTTCTGAGGCTTTATAGATCTTTACAGAAGCAGCTATTTCTCACTCATGAAGTGGTTGGTGGGTTTGAACCTTCAACCTTGCAATTAGCCATCGAACATTTACCCAACAGCATTAACAAGACTCCTTGAAAAATCATGACAAAAAACAAAAATACAAACTATACTTAATAAAATCCATCCCATGGAAAGGGATCTATCCCTAACAAAAAAGATGAACTGGGCAGAGCACATCTTTTGGACCCATGGCCCTCACGTTGCAAAAAACTACAGTCAGGGTGCGGGTGATGAAAAGACCTTTCCACAGAGGTAACAGAGAGAAATCTCTCCCCTGTACCTGGCATCCTGAATTCAGACTTTTGGCCTCCTAAGTGGAAAGACAGTAAATTTCTACTTGTGAGGCCATGCCAAAAATTTTAAAGCAGATTTAGAGTAATACTTTTCATTTTGGTGTTAACATCAGAAAATACAAAGTGAACATTAATGCTTCTGTGGTTAAGAGAGTAGTAAAATCCACATATGTAACTTTGGTAATATTCCTCCCTTCCTATGAATTCCCTTGTGTGCAAAATGGTAAATAATGTGATTGGTGACTTCCCCACATGCTTACATACACACCTGGTCTCTCCAGTGTCTGGTGTGCTGAGGGAAGAGGCACACTAAAGGCCTCCCTTAACTTTAGCATTCGGAGGACTGACCTACAATTTAGTATTTCACATGTTGTTTAGGACTGGAAAAGTAGATAGATGATCCCAAGGGTCATCCATTCCATGATGTCTCTTCACTGTGACACCTCTCACAGTCACCTGAGTTCGTTAGAAAGGCTTTTCAAATATATGTGAATTCTTGTTTGTGAAAATACGGGAAGATGTTACCACATTCTTTAGATTTAGAAGCCTTCTCTGCCAGTTTTGAACAAAGATGCTGGATCAATACTATCCAATATTAGGCATATATTATTCCTCTCTAGCATACTTACTCAAGTGTTATAAAGTATGGTAAACGTCTAAAGGCTTTCCCACATTCCTTACATCCAGACTCTATTTTAAGCTGGTATGTTTACAGAAAAAGTAATGACAAAATTTTCCTGCATTACTTACATTCATACTGCTTCCTCCACTGTACCTTCGTGTTTTATGAGAGGAGGTAGAAGTAGCAAGTTTCTCACATTCTTTACAACAAAAACTCCACTGTGAGGTTAATGAGGTTCATTAAGGACAGAGGAGTTAATAAAGGTGTTTCCGTAAGCCCTCTCTCCACTGTGAATTCTTAGATGTCTGGTGAGGGATGAGGAATCAGTGAAGGTTTTCCCACATTCCTTACACTCATAAGGCCTCTCTCCACTGTGTGTTCTTATATGTCTAATGAGGTGTGAAGAACGACTAAATACTTTTCCACATTCCATACATCCATAAGGCCTCTCACCACTGTGAGTTCTAATGTGTTTAGTGAGGTTTGAAAAATGACTAAAGGCCCTTCCACATTCCTCACATTCATAGGGCTTCTCTCCCGTGTGAATTCTTATATGTGTGGTGAGAGCTGAGGAATTACTGAAGACTTTCCCACATTCCTTACATTCATAAGGTCTCTCTCCACTATGAGTTCTTATGTGTGTTATGAGTGATGAGGACTGGCTAAACACTTTCCCACATTCCTTACATTCGTAAGGCCTCTCTCCACTATGAGTTCTTATATGTGTTGTGAATGCTGAGGAACCAGTAAAAGCTTTTCCACATTCCTTACATTCATAAGGTCTTTCTCCACTGTGAGTTCTTATATGTGTAGTCAGAGATGAAGAAATAGTAAAAGCTTTACCACATTCCTTACATTCATAAGGCCTCTCTCCACTATGAATTCTTATATGTGTAGTAAGAGATGAAGAATCACCAAAAGCTTTTCCACATTCCTTACATTCATAAGGTTTCTCTCCACTGTGAGTTCTAGAATGTCTAGTGAGAGCTGAAGAATTAGTAAAGGCTTTCCCGCATTCTTTACATTCATAAGGTCTTTCTCCGCTGTGAATTCTTACATGTGTAGTGAGAGATGAAGGATCACTAAAGGCTTTCCCACATTCCTTACATTCATAAGGTTTCTCTCCACTGTGAATTCTTATATGTGTAATGAGAGCTGATGAATGACGAAAGGCTTTACCACACTGCTTACATTTGTAAGGTTTATGTCCACTGTAACTTTTTTTATGTAAACTAAGTGAAGAGGGACAAGGTTTCCAATATTCTTTATATTCACCCTTGTGATTTTTCACATGTGTCTGAAAGGATGGATAACTATAGAAATTCCCCCCATATTGATTACATTCATATGGTTTGTCTCCACTAACAGGTTTCACAGGAGTGCTTAGGAACGGATAGTTATAGGTTTCTTCATATTCCTTATGTTGATAGATATTGCATCCAGTTTCAGATGTGACACGAGACCTATACAATGAATGATCTATGAAGGATCTTCCACATGTAAGGTATTCAAAAGGATTTACCCCAGTAGTTCTTTTGATCTCAGTAAACTTTGGAATCTGACTGAAGGTTTTTCCACACTGATTACCTTCCTCATTTGCATGAAGATTCTCTACCAAATGTCCTCTGTTGAAAATAGGATAAACATGCAGTTAGAAATAAATTTGATACCGTTACACAATTTCCAAACACAGTGAACTTGAATGATTTTGTTCTAAGTTATGTCACATCTCATAAGTCTAAAAATATAGACAAGATGCTGTCAGATTGCCCAAATGGGATATTCTGAAAACTGTGTATTAGTCAAGTATGCCACAGATACACATTTATAAGTGTAAATCATATAGAGTATCTTATAAGCTACACATATATAAAACACTTAATTGTAAACATTCTCTAGACACACAATTTATAGTTTGTATATTTTTATCTTAACATGGATATTTCAGACTTTTTGTTGAGGCACTGCTTTCTCTTACATGACTGCCACTCACCTCAAATAACTCCTCTGGTTGTTCTGCTGATCTTCATTGCTACGCAATTCACTGACTTCTCCAAATATGGAGGACCAAGTGTCATTCTTCATAAATCGCACTACTGTATGTTCATTGGGCAACTTTTCTCCATCACGAAGTTTTCGAGAAACTGATCCAACGATTGAAGTTGAGGTTTGCAATATGAAACAAAAGGAGAAGAAATGATTAAGAGGGAAAGGTCTACCATGATCAAGACTTTTGAGGGATTTTGTTGTTCTGGGCCTGTGGCAATTGTCAAAAGATAAGAAATACTTCAGTGAATATTGAGAGTGCCAGTGACTTGTGTAATTAGGACAGCAAAGGAGAAAGAATAAATGTAATGCAGGTGTAATTTTGAACTATGCAATGTACATGTAAAAGAAAAATTGGAGGACTTAACTTACTCTACAAACCCAGTTGTGGACTGTCAGAAAAATAATCTCAGGTATTTGAGAATTTTGGGTTCTTCAATCCAAAAGACTTTTTCTAATCTATTTATTAAAACCTAACTCCCTCTATCTTTAAGTAACTGACCTTCAAAGGATTGGTTGGGTTTTTTTTCTGGTTCTCCCTGCATTAATAGTCCTGAATAAATCTTATCTTTACTCTCCGAAGATCATAACCCCTAAAGCAAATGGTCATACCTACTACACCTAAAAACCTGAGACTACAAAAGAAATACAGTCAGTTTACATTCAGGTGAAAGGCAGGATATTTAAAATCCATAGAACATATGAGCAAGCCTATCCTACTTAACAATTTACTCCCAAATGCTGGAGAAGGTCAGTGAGTATATATTTAAAAATTAATGAAGTTTGTTTTTAAATAATGCCATCCTTACCTACTGAGGCCAGGTTTATGAAGGTTTCCAACATCACATCTATGTAGAGTTTCCTCTGAGCAAGATTCATCAAAGCCCACTCTTCCTGGGTAAAGTTCACAGTCACATCCTCAATGACCACTGAATCCTAAAACATAAACACGTATTCTAGCTTATTAAAGTGTGATATATATAAGAGGCCCCAATGAAAGTAAAAAACAAAAAACAAAAAACGCTATATCCCAATGTGTAGCAAAATTGTCTAGGTGAAATGAGAATTCAGATTAGATACATGATTGTGTTTTCTATTAAAATCTACCATAGAGCTTAGCCATCAGGATCCCTCACCTTACACTAAATCCATCATCTATTACATGGACTTCTTATATTCAACAATATTTCACACACACTGAGCTGAGTTGGTTTATTTATACTTTAACTATGATTAATTCTACTTTTATTCTCTATCTTTTAATTAAAACACTCAAAACACATATCGGGAATAAAAAAATGCTCTATATAAACAAGTCCAATAATCTAACATTCTGTGTTAGGCTGAGTTGTCTAGAGAAAAGGCCTATGACAATCGTCCATGTTCAAGAAAGAACTTTTTATCACGAAGCAAATTTCTATCAGAAGACAGCCCAGCCAAGTTCAAATCAAGTCTGTAGGTCCAAATGCTAGCTGGGGTCCTCTTCACTCTCACATAGTTACAGGCCAATGACACTGAAAAGTGCAGTGAGAAGCAGGGAGATCACAGGCCAGTGAGTGCAGAGTCACGAGGACCCAAAGTCAGTGGAAGCATTACAGGGCCCTTACCGCATTCAGGGTTGGGCAGCCCACATATGGCTGCCCCTGGAGGTAAAGAGAGTTCCATTTAAAGTATCAGTGAGGAGGAAATCAACGCTGTAAAGAGAGGTCATCTCTTGTTTCTTCTTGCTCTTCATACAAAAGACCACACCCCCAAAGGTGTCATCAAACTACCACTTGATTGACAGGTATGACTCCACCCCTAGGTTGGAATGTCTAGTTGACATAATTTTTAACTACCACACATTCTTCTGCAGCACCACAGTTCAAATGCATTGATTCTTCTGTTGTCTTCCCTATTCAATGTCCAACTTTCACATGCATATAATGCAACAGAGCACACCTTGGCTTGGGTCAGTCCTCAAAGTAACATCCTTGTTCTTTAATACACTAAAGAGGTCTTGTACAGCAGATTTACCTAATGCAATACGTCTTTTGTCCTCTTGACTGTTGCTTCCATGAGCATTGATTGTGGATCCAAGTAAGGAAAAAACCTTGACAATTTCAACATGTTTTCCATTTATCATGTTACCTGTTGATCCAGTTGTGAGGATTTTCATCTTCCTTATGTTGAATTGTAATCCATACAATCCTTGATCTACATCAGCAAGTGTTTCAATTCCTCCTCACTTTTAGATTGTGTCATCTGCATACTGTGGTTGTTGATAAGCCTTCCTGCAATCCTGATGCTGCATTCTTCTTCGTGTAATCCAGCTTGATGATTTGCGCTCAGCATAGATTGAACAAGTATGGTGAGAAAGGTCGCAAACCTTTTCTGATTTTAAATCATGCAGTATTTCCTATTCTATTTGCACAATTACCTCTTGATCCATATACAAATTCCAAATGAGCACAATTAAGTGTTGTGGAATTCCCATTCTTCTCAAGGTTTATTATTTCTTGCAGTTTATTATGGCCCACTCCGTTGAATGTCTTTGCATAGTCAATGAACCATGAATAAACATCTTTCTGATATTCTCTGCTTTGAGCCAAGATCCATCTCACATCGGCAATATTCTTTGTTCCACGTCCTCTTTTGAATCCAGCAGTTCCCTGTCAATGTACTACTACAACCATTGTTGGATGATCTTAAGTAAAATTTCACTTGTGTGTGATATCAATGATATTGTTCTATAGTTTGAGCATTCTGTAGGGTCATATTTCTTTGCAATGGGCACAAATATGAATCGTTTCCATTTATCTGGCCAAGAAGCTGTCTTCCAAATTTCCTGGCACAGGTGTGTGTTTTCAGTGCTTCTTCAGCTTTCTGAAACATTTCAATGGGTGTTTTGTCAATTCTTGGAGCCTTATTTTTGGCTAATACTTTCAGTGTAGTTTGAATTTCTCTCTTCAACACCGTTAGTTCTTACTCATATGCTCCATCTGGAAATGGTGGACTGTCCATTAGTTCTTTTTGGTATGGAGAAGAATATTGAAAGTACTATGGACTGCTAGAAAAACAAACAGATCTGTTTAGGAAGAAGTAAGGCCAGAGTGCTCCTTAGAAGCAAAGACACTAAGACTCCATCTCACATAATTTGAACATAGAGCCAGGAGAGATTAGTCCTGGGAGAGAGACATCATGTTGGGTAGAATGGCGGTACAGCGAACAACAGGAAGGCCCTCAACAAGATGGGTTGACACAGTGGCTGCATCAGTGGACTAAAGCACAGAACGATTGTGAGGGCAGCGCAAGACCACGTAGTGTTTCCTTCTGTTGGCACAGATAGGGTCGCTAGGGGTCGGCGCCGACTGGATGGCACCTAACAAGTAACAACACCACACCACAAATTTACATCACTCCCTTGTTATAAATAAAATTTACTTTCTTGTACAAATCTGCCAGAACTCTCAACAAAACATGAATCGCAGGGTGAAAGCAGAATTAGATATGAACAGGGAGACACATTGTAGCGTTTCCTTTTGCGCCTCATCAAGCATGGAGAGGCCCCAGGCTCACACAAACAAATGGGCAACCCCCTGCCCTGAAATGGGCATACTTTCTTGGAGAAACTACAGATCACCAAAAGATGACAAGACAGCTTGCCAAAGCTATTCTTTCTGATTCAAAGCAATCCCTGTTTATGAGTGAACACTCTCTGGTCCTGAGCCAGTCTCACAATTGCTGCATTTGAGCCCATTGTCATAGCTACTGTACAAATCCATCTCACTACAGGTCTTCCTCTTGTTGCTGCCCCTCTACCGAGAACAATGTCCTCTTCTAGAGCCTAGTCTCCCTTGATACGTGCAAAATACGTGAGACGGTCTCACCATCCTCACTTTTAAGGAGCTATAGCTATGCTCCCCAGACAGATGTGTGTTTCTCTGGCAGTCCACAGTACTTTCCATATTCTTCGTTGATATCATAACTCAAATGCATCATTTTTTCTTTAGATATTTGAAATACAACTTTAGTCTGGTTCTAAACAAAAAGGGATGGGAATTGCTGTTAAAAACAAAACGTAACCTCTGAATATTGTGATGTGACTACCAGTCTTGTATTTGAATTTCAAGAAAACAAATGTTTCAAAAGATAGATATGCAGGTTTTTTAAAAAAAAAAAAGAAGTTTGACTGGCACACTCACTCCAAATCCCACTCATCTCCTTCAACATCCCAAAGATTGGCACATTCTGCTTAGCTATGTAATAAAAGAATGGCAAACATGTTGCAACACTGACATCATAGGGCAGTTGCCTCTAAAACTAGACTTCTGGTGTTCAGCTCCAGGTCATCATCCTCACCTGAGAGAGTGGCTGTCTCTAAATCATACTCATCTTGTGCTACCAAAGTTGGGTCCATAACAACCTCTGGTGAGCAAGAGCAAGCATAGCAACAAGCTCCAAGTTAAGGATCACCCATTAGTTTTCTAGCAAGCCAAAGGAAGGGCTTTTTTCAAAGTTGTAATTACTTTTGGCAGAAAATCCTTAGTACTGAAGGTTCTTCTTTCAGTGGAAGATGATGGATTTTGCCTTAACTTTCCTGTCCGTAATGTCCACTTTGTTGTCACACAGCACAATGGGTATGTTTTCACATATTCGAACCAGATTCCTATGCCAGCCAGGCCCATTCTTTTAAGTAACCCTTGAAGTTATGTCGAACATCATAAGGGAACACTGGGCTTGGATATAACCGCCATCTCTCAGTCCTCCACATTTTTCTTGACCAGCCATATCCCACACATTGAACCCAAGGGGATGGACCTCAATGCCTAAGGTGGCGACACACATCTCAAATTCACCAGTCAGATGATGTTTCACAAACGTCATTTTTCCAGTACCACCATCATCCACCAGTACAAGTTTGAACTGGACTTGGGGTTCCCCTTGAGCAGTCATCGTGATGGATCTTCCAGAAACGTCTCTGGGCTGCATCTAAGGGATGGAAAGATGGTGGAAGCCTCAAATGCATCATTCTTCTCAATTTTTCCTTACTCACTGTCCAACTTTCACATGCATATAAAACTACTGAAAACAGCACGGCTAGGGTCAGGCATACCTTCGTGCTCAAAGTAACATGTTTAATACTTTTTAAAAAACCTTGGGCAGCAGATTATCTCAATGCAATGTCATTTGACTTCTTGACCAGTGCTTCCATGAGTCATTACTGTATATAAGTAAAATGAAATCATTGAGAAGATCAATCTTTTTGACATTTATAAGTGTTTATTGGTTGAATTTTGAAGATTTGCTTTTTATTTACATTGAGTTGCAATCCATACTGAAATCTGTAGTAAATGAGTATCATCAGTGCTTCAAACCATCTTCAATTCAGCAAGAAGACTGTACCAGCATATCACAGGTGGTTAATGAATATTCTTCCAATTGTAATCTCAAGTTCATAATAGAAATTAGCTTCTTAGATTATCTGCTCAGCACATAGATGAATAAATCGAGTCAAAAACACAGCCCTGATATACACGTATCCTCATTTAAACTGTGCAACATCCTCTTGTTATGATGGCCTCTTTGGGGTCAAATCACTATGGGGAAAAGATTTGATTGTGATGCAATACATTTTTGTTTAAGATGGCAATTGCTGAACCGTTTTGAGTTGATTCAAAGCCTGCGGCTAACTATATAAATTTTAGATGTTGGAAATGTAACCTCAGCATAAATCAAAGCAATGAAAATAAAAATAAAAACAATAGAAGGCCTGGGACAAGAGAGCAGACATGTCCCCTCTACAACAAAAACCCAGGATCAAGTGAAACAGATTTTCATGGAGCCCTGAGTTTACAAGGAGATGATACAGATCAAATACTAATTAGAACAAAAACAATGAACAAGGAGTCATGTGGAACAATGACACACATAGCATGACCCAGAAAACCCCACAA